GATCTGGTAGTTGACGTGTGTGATTTGATGGGTCTTCAGGACCTTGTTGAGAAGGTGGATGTAGTGTGTAAAGTCCTGACCAAGCTGGAAAATAAGAGCACAAATGCAGTCTAGGGCAGCCTGACGCAGTACGCGGTCACCACTGGCCACAACTCTTGACAAAGAGTGGATCATGAGGGAGGCAAAATCGGAAACATTGACTTGCCGCGAAAGCTTCGTTAAGCTATCGATGGCTGACTTCCGAATGCTTGTTGGATTCTGTGGTCGATCAAATAGACGCACGATAGATGGAATGATGAGATGCATGTACTCTTCTCCACTTGAACCGAAGATCAAAAGAGTATGAAGAATCTTTTCAGATGGCTGGTGACGAGGCGTTGAGTCCTTCTCAAGTGTGTCTAGCATTAGAGGAATTAGGCCAGCAAGATACTTCCTGAATTCACCTTCTAGTGACCGGGCAATAGCCTCAACCAACGACAAAATCGTGCCTTGGATCTGATATGAAGAATCCCAGAACTCCCTGATGACTTCAATGATTTCTGGCAAGAAAGCACGAATATGCTGCCGCACGATGTTGACTAAGATTGCCATCTGATTGAAATATGATTCGAGGCGACTAGAAGGAGAACTTCTGATCACCAAGATAAACCCTGGAATGATTTGTCCAAGGAATGGTACACATTTCAATCCCAGAGTCTTGAAGATTGTGACAATTGCATCAATCACAGCCGAGTGATATTGAGCCAGAGAGTTCTCGCGCAGAATGTTCTGCATCAGAGTGTGAATGACCACAGTGGGATAGTACTCCTCATTGGATGGAGTAAGACCCTGCATAATCAAAGCAACTTCAGAAACATTCTTAATCTCGTTGATGTGGTGTACGTCGGGCTCAAGCTCGCTGATCTGCTGGTACTTGTATGGGTCAAGGGCACCGAGGACACCGAGAAGCTTGATGGTCTCCTTCCGCAGAGAGCCTGTCATTTCCGTTTTGATGATGTTGATCAGCACAGCGAGAAGATGAGGATATTCGAGGTAGGGTTCAATGACGTAACCCGAGTTGCTGGCCAATTGACCCAGCGTCCGAAGTGCAGCTTCACGCTTGGTATGCGACGAAAGGTCTTGTAGGGCATCTAGAATAATGGGCATGATCTGCGAAAGGTACCCTCTCATCTCACTGCCACCTACATTGGCAAGCTCACCAACGGCCTTCAAGGTGGTGGCAGCGACGCCGGGGTTACTATCTGTTGCTTTTGGCATCAATGCAGTCACCATCGGGTCCACATAGGACCTGATCAATTTGGTCGCATTTGAAACAAACAAGCTGATGAGAAGAGCAGTCTCTTCTTTTTGTCTGGCCGTGGTTGCAAACCCGAGACCTGTAAGAAGATTGACCAGCAACTTCCGAAGCGGTGGGAAGACATAAGCAGGGTTGACGCTGGAGAGCCGACCAATGATACAGATAGCAGCTTCTTTGACCTCAAAAACCTCATCATTGACTGCCAGGAACAAGCATCGGATATTCTCTGGCCTTGCCAAGTGACGGTCAAATTTGCGATCCAAAGACCACAAAACAGTGCGTCGAATTTCTGCGTCTGGGTCTCCGATACCGACAGTCAACAGCTTGTCGATCACCTCACTCACAACCTGGATAGAATGTCCACTGGTCTGGTTGATGATCGGGTCGTGAACGAACAGTTGACAACACGTCAAGGCCGAGGCCTTTCGAATCTCGGGATTATCATTTTCCACGTAGTTGATGGCAACATCACGGACGAATTCGTTTAATATGTGCCCGGAGAAGTCAAAGCTTCCTAATGTATGAAGTGCCAATGCGATATCGGAATCAGCATGGAGCTCGTGGGGTGCAAAGTCTTTTGCGAAAGATGGCATGGGAGGAAGTCGGTTTTCAGGGCAACCGAGGGGCCTAAATGGTGTTCCGCAAAGGATGATACTCAGCATGTCGAGGAGCCTTTCTTGAATCATGGGTTTGATGGGAGGGATGTAATGAGCCATATCAACGAGCGCCTGTGTTAAAGACTTGCTGAGTCCACAGGCGAAGATGGGATCTAGAAGAGCCTCCATGTACTTGCTGAGTGCCTGTCCCACTGCAAGGGACAGCATGCTGATGCACTCAAACATCGGTGCCTCGTTGATGCCCGCTCGATTCCTAGCCTTCATTGCAAGGCCTTCGCGAATGTAGATGATGATGCCATCGAGATATTGACCGATGGCAGGGCCCACTGCATTCGCAATCTTTCCGATGGCAATAAAGGCGGAATTCCGCTCTTTGTCTCTCTTCAGCTGTGCCTGGAGATAGATCATGAACCGATGGAGGTAGATCTCGATGAAATCGGTAGGAGCGTATGATGCGAGAATGGGAATAGTGAGGACGACCTGGGTGCGAATCTTGGGGTCGCGGTGGTCCTTCAGGCGGAGAATGATTTCGCAAGCATTGCGGTAGTGCTCTTTCATGAACATTGTGCCCTTGAGGATCAGCTCTTTGAGAATCAGAAGGGAGCCATGAATCCAATCCACATTGTGGGACTTCAAGCCGAGAAGGGCCTCATCATGTATCCGTGCAAACCATGACTGTCGAACTTGGGTATCACGGGCCACGATGATCTCAAAGCATTCACCCACGGCTTCAGCGGCAGTCTCCCGAATGAGAACTTTGGGGTCTCGGAGGGCAACCCAGACGAGCTCGAAGATCTGGGGGACGAACCCGTAAAGAAGCGTCGGCGAGCCCTTAGCAAGTTCCCGAATCACAAGCACCGCGGCAAAACGCCGACTTTCCTGGCGCTCCGACTGCAGCCATTCTAGTGCAGATTGTATTTCACTTTCCACCAGCTCTGCGGTAAGAGCTCCGCCGGGTTTCGCGAGGCGGCCCAGCGATCGGGCCGCGCAAACCAAAACCACATTGTCGTTGCTGCGAAGAGCGCTGCGCAAGTAGCTGGCAAATCTCGTTGTCTTCTGGGCTGCATCGACACCGTCAAAGTCAATGAGTCGATCGAGTGCCAGCAGGCCGCCGATTCTCTCGTTTGCGTCACCGCCGGTTACCACGAGTTGGGCGATGCGTTGGCTCACCGCGTTGTAAAATTCGACGAACTTCTCGGAGGGCCAATCTGTAGAAGTGGATACATTAGTCAAGTCAGACAGACACTGAAGTCCAAAATCGTGGTAGTACCTCTGGAGACAGACACAACATTGTCGTAGAGCTCATAAGCAGCTCTGGCTCTGGCCTCCTCATTCTTTGACTTAAGCTCCACGAACAGTCTTTGGGTAACGTCCGTCATTGCACCTGCTTGTGCCATATTTGCAAATCACACCCCAAGGTGGACATTGGAAGTCAACCTCTAGGGGTAAGAGAAAGACGCGAAGTGCATAGAGTTGGTAGAGGGATGGTCATGTGTGAGGCCTGGAGAAGGTCGAGGGGCGCACGGGCCAGTTTGGAGTTCCCGACGTGCGACCCTCACTTATCTAACGTCTATTGTATAACATGCCTACAGATGGCTCTGGTTTGCATATAACCGCAATATCAGTATGATTCTAATCTTAAATCAGGAGTGTTATTTATACTAGTACGGTAAAAGAATTCATTGACATTGATCTTTGTCTTGACGCCCCCTACCGGCTACACCATCATGTGAATGTTTTGGTAACACTAACATGGTCAGTCCTTCTTAAAATATGCACAATTCTTCTGGAATTCCGAAGTGAAGTGAGCTAGCAAGATAATTTAGACAGCGCACAAGGGTCATATAACAAGAGGGGCATATAAGCTTCCATAAAGAAGGACTGAGGAGAACGAAAGGAAGAAAGAGAGCGCAGAAAGAAGCAGCCTAAGTATCCTTACGTCTGTATCTCACATTCACTTTGCTGCTAACTGGGCCTGATATCTTAGTATTGCTTTGGCGGCGGAAGGGTGCATAGCGTATTGACCCCTGTTATATGGTGTACGCCACGTCTATAAAGCTTGGTTTGTTTCAAGGTTTCTAGTCAGACAAAGGTAAACACACTCTAACCCAAATAGAAGACTAATATTTCCAACCATGACTGGTGTTTTACGCTTCACATCTGTAGTTCAGCACGAGCCGTACCGATGATGAATAGCGAAGGGTGGATTTGAGTTGTGCAAGGGATACATGTGAGAAAACTTGGATTTTCTTCAGCAATAACGCCCTGAGGGTTGGGAATTCGAAGCGCTTTAAGGGAGAGCAGCCTTTTGCTAGTAATGTACATATTGCGCTTAGTAACTCTAGGACCTAGTCCCATTGATGTATAACGATGAATTGGAGCCAAGGTCTAGCTATCGAGGAAGTCTTAAGAAAAGAGGCCGACTTACCAATATCAAATCGCCGGTGCTTACCTGTTGGTTGCTCTAGTACTGAGGGCCTGGGTTCAAGCCATTGCTGGGAAGAAGAGGCCGGAACTGCATTTTTCATACTTGAAGACTATCTATGCATTAACGTTAACGAATATTTGCAATCAATAACTGATACTCGCTAGGTGTTAGTTCGACGTATGTGCGCGGGCTATTCAAGGATATTGATATTCCAAACTTCTAGTCCTCGCGGAAGCTTTGAAAGGCCTCACAATTTGTCCGAAAAAAAAAAAAATATAGCAGTCAAACTGTGTCAAATACCTAGTCTGGGATGTGTTCAGGCGGAATGTTTAAGCGGCGAAGACTGAATTTATCAGACATGGGCCTCGGGTCCCGGAGTTAAGTTTAGTATCCAAGGAAGACGGCAATTATGTACCGCGCTGACAGGAGACAGGCATGGCCAGCCAATGGACTTACGGATTTACTCGGATACAACTATATCCTTTTTATATCCATCAAATTGACCTGTGAGTATTTGTAATCTTGAACCCCTCATATAACCTTATCGGTGGAGTGATGACGGGATGGAGGGGCCCCCGGGGGATACTTAAAGCCAAGGTCCTCCTTTATAGTTACTTTCTGTCCTCTTTAATCCCAAACATTTTCAGACATAATTACAATGGTTAAAGTACTCTTGACTGGTACGCTGTATCACCAAATCCATGGTCTCGAATTGGTCTAACTCTGCTTTAGGAGGCAGTGGCTTCATTGCCGCCCACATCGTCGATATTCTACTGCAACATGGGTATGTCCAAGATCCCCCCTCTTCCCCCTCCTATGACTGGTTGCAGACTGTTAATAACTGTGCTTTAGCTTTGATACTGTCGTGACCGTTCGATCGGACGAGAAGGGCAAGCAGATTCTCAAGGCTCACCCTGATGCATCAAAGGAGAAGCTCTCTTATGTGATTGTTCAAGATGTGGCCAAGGATGGCGCGTTTGATGAGGTCAGTATCAAATTGCTTTCATGGAATATTCAAGACTAATTGAAACGCAACAGGCCGTCAAGTCTAGCCCTCCATTCGATTATGTTCTTCATACCGCATCTCCATTCCACTTCAATGTTCAAGACCCCGTAAAGGACTTCCTTGACCCTGCTATTAAAGGAACTACGGGTATTTTGAAAGCCATCAAGGCCTATGCACCTACCGTGAAGAGAGTGGTCATCACATCCTCTTTCGCTGCTATCGTGAACCCCGATCAACATCCCAAAGTATATAGCGAGAAGGAATGGAATCCAGTGACCTGGGAAGAAGGATTGGACCATTCGAAGGTCTATAGGGCTAGCAAGGTAAGTCATCGTTGGGACTTCATGAAGGAAATGCAAGAGCTAATAGAGATGGTCTATCAGACCTTTGCAGAAAAAGCAGCATGGGAGTTTGTCGAGCAGGAGAAGCCAAACTTCGACATTGCAACTATCAACCCACCACTGGTGTTTGGTCCGGTTGTTCACTACTTGAACTCCCTTGAGGCCATCAACACCTCGAACCAGCGTATGAGAAACCTCATCCGGGGCGACATGAAGGAGAAATTAGCGCCATCGGGCACCTTCCTCTGGGTTGATGTACGTGATGTCGCCCTCGCACATGTCAGAGCCATTGAAGTCCCTGAAGCTGGGGGTGAGAGATTCTTTGTCACTGCTGGCATCTTCACAAACAAGGACATTGCGGATGTTATTCGCGACACCCACCCCGAGCTGGAGTCTAAGCTGCCCCCGAAGGACTCTCCCAGCGACCTCCCGAAAGATATTTACGGGTACGATAACAGTAAATCGCAAAATGTTCTCGGAATCAAGTATGTTCCGCTGAAGAAGACAGTCGTGGACACTGTCGATTCTCTTCTGGCTATTGGTGCTTAGGATTTTCCTGGCTGAGTCATAGACTTAGAGTGGAATGATAAATAATATATTTCAATTTGTTCCATCGATGAAATCGAGCTATAAACTGTATTTACCATAATTCACCAGATATCCAAGATCAAATAGATACAAAGTTGCGGTTTAGGTCGTTATGTCGCACCCTACCCGTTTGGCCCGTGTTCTCCGGCCAACTTTTCTCGCGTTAACTCCAAGATCAAATAACCCATTGAACAACATGGCCACCGCCAGGCTGTCGCCAACGGCGAATCTTCTGCGAAAGTCCCGTTTATTCGCACTTCCTCAAGCTCTCAAAACCTCTCAAGAGCCCTCAACATCACGAGCGGTGTTCGAATCCGATACCGCAACTCTGCCTCACCCTATTCGAGCCGCCATTGTTACGCCGCAATCATCGCTAGCCCGAGGCGATTGGGGTCTGAAACGACCTCTACCCGCTAAGGCGACATCAGAAAAGTCATCGAGACCTGTCGTCCGGGTTAACGCCCTCGATACCTACGAACATGTCACCGACTTCGAATCCGCAGCGGACCACACCATGACCCTCGAGAAGTTCCAGGAGTTACACATGCCCATGTCTCTACCTTCTAAAGTCAATTACGCCACAAGCGTTCTCCCGAGGCACCAGAGTCCGTTTGAGGCGCACCTTGATAACACCCAGAACAGCCAAAACAGCCAGGGTATCCAGGACCCTAGCTTCAAACAATTCAGACACAGCGGTCCTTGGCTCGCTGGGCAGACAGAGGCCGAATTTGCAGACTACGTGAAACAAGTCAGCCGAAAGAAGCCCGAGCTTATGCAGAAGCTGCGTGAGCAGTTCATCGCTAAGCGGTCTGCCGAGATCCGCAAAGAGGCCCAGGATAATGGGGAGGACTTGATTGATCAACCCGTCACCATTACCGACGCAGAATTCAAGACCTATATCAAGACTTTGCGCAGTGACCCCAGCGCCCTTGGTCCTGCCGTCTTCGATCTGCTCGACCTGCCGTCCGGCCCTGCCATCCCCAGCGAGCGCATTGGACGCAGCTACTACCAAGCTCCTGCAACCAGCTTGTCCTCTGCCGAATATGCTATGACTGGACCCCCTAAGACACACCCATCTGCCGGTCTGTCGTACACACGCTCGCACGCCTTGATCCAAAACCACGCCCGATATGGCCCGCAGGCCCACCAGCGTCCTGTCGAGGCCCGCATCTTGCGCCCCAAGGGCCGCTTCAAGGGCCGCATGAACCGGGCTATTGCCGGTGTGGGTGGTATCGCCGTTGAGGACCTGAATGCCATGGCCTTTGTTGAGCAAGGTACTCCTCCCGGCCTCACCTACTTCGATGCCTCCATTCCCGGTGGAGGTAAATACTGGGTTACTCCTATCCGCGCTGCCATTGATTCCCAGGGTCGCATTGGCCTTTCTTCTTACCGCGCGAGTGCAACATCCAAGGCTCCTTACGGACTTGAAGACCACTCCAAGCCTAACAGCTTGAGCGTCTCGAATGTCGCCAGCAGCGACGACCAGACAGTTCCCCGACTGGACAGACTCCCGCACCAGCAGCCTCGGTTCCAGTCTTCTGGTGACCGACCCACCCAGAGAAGGCCTATGCGGGGGACAGAAGATGTCGCTCGCAGCCTCCTCGACAACCTTAACTCTCGATCATAAGAAAGAGTGAAGTTGGTCGGGAGTGGGAAGGATGTATGATAGAACTGGTGCTTGTAAAGCTACTCTCATTTTCTTTTGGACTGTGTCATAGTTATTTAAATCGGATGCATCAATATATTATTTTCTGAGCGATTGTTTTTCAGAGTTGGGATCCAGGCCAAACACAGTTGACGTAGTGCCTTCCTAAAACGGCAAGATTAAAATCGATTATATAATCTTCGTGATTAGGGCTTAGGGCAAGGACCCGCACAGGGCTAAGCGAAAGCCGCTCATCAACTCAACCCAAATTGGCCGTACACTTCGAATCTCCGAACATCCATCCCGCCAGCCAACAACCGCCAAAATGGGTCGCGTCCGTACCAAGGTGAGCATACAAAGACAACAGCAGCAAGATAATCACCGATCTAATTTTCCTCCTTGAACAGACAGTCAAGCGCTCCGCTAAGGTCATCATCGAGCGTTACTACCCCAAGTTGACCCTCGACTTCGAGACCAACAAGCGCATCTGCGATGAGATCGCCATCATTGCCTCCAAGCGTCTTCGCAACAAGGTGAGATTCCACAACCACAACATCACACTCACGACCAAAAATACTGATTCGAAATTCCCGTAGATTGCTGGTTACACCACCCACCTGATGAAGCGTATTCAGCGTGGTCCCGTCCGCGGTATCTCCTTCAAGCTCCAGGAGGAGGAGCGTGAGCGCAAGGACCAGTACGTCCCCGAGGTTTCCGCTCTCGACGTCTCCCAGACCGAGTCCGGCCAGCTCGATGTCGATGCCGACACCAAGGACCTCCTCAAGTCCCTCGGCTTCGACAACCTCAAGGTCAACGTCGTCAGCGTCAGCCAGCAGCAGCAGGCTGAGCGTCCCCGTCGCTTCGGTCCCCGCTAAATTTAGCGGCCCGGAATACGGAAAAAAAGAAAAATTTCATGTCTGGTCTTCGGTCGACTCCCGGCGTTTCCCCGACGATGCTTGTTCTGGCTGGCTTTCGCCCATGCTAGCTTTGGTTTAGCTTAGAGTGGAGGCTATTCCTGGATGAGGAATGAATAAACATGATTCTCTTTGAGAAAGGTGTCGCTGATTCTCCGCAAGGTGATGATGCTTGATTGCCAATTTTCCTCGTGTTTGTCTGGTAGGGGTTACCCTCCAGACTGAACCACGTAGGGGTTCTCGTTCAAGGTCTTGTATCTTGGATTGGGTAGCTCGAGGCCTTTGGACTGAGCTCTGCATCGATTCTTAGATGAGTCTTGCAAGCCAGCTCCACACTGCATGGTCTCTGTAGAATGTTCATTTCTCGTAGTCAACATAAAAAACAGTTGGGTATATACAAAATAAGCGACGAACCCCCCTAAAATGCCACGGCGAACTCTGCCATTCAGATCTGATCGAGCACATCTATGTCTCCATCTTGATCCTGAGCCTGCCGGTCTTGCTGCTCTCTAGGCACGTACCCCTCAATGGAGCCACCCATGGCATCCTCCGGGCGCAACTGCGGAGCATTAACAGCCCGCTGAGAAGCACACTCGTTCTCCCTGATATGGACGTTCACACGTCCATTCCGAACAACAGCACTGGTATCACCGCGTTCTATCGCAAGCTCACGAGACCTATCTCCAAGCTTCAGATTCTGCAAACCGTCCGCAACGGAAGAAACAGTGCCCGTAGCCGCAGGAGCCTTCTGACGTCTAGCGCGTGCCTCCTCAAGCAAAAGAATCATCGTACCCCGCGTATCACCAGCCCGCCGTTCCCACACGGGCACTTCAGACAGCTGCACACGGAGCCAAAGAGCACGCTCAGCACACGCATCCGAGCACCATTTCTCGACCTTGTCCTGGGGCACAATATCCACGGCGCGTCCGCGTCCTCCAGGCCCGCTCCCCTTCGCACCATAAGTGAACCGAAACCCGCCGCCCTTGCCTCTGTTTTCTTTCCTATGCTTTTTCGGACATAGACTATAACCGCACAATTCGGCGTAGTTGCGCTCCAGAATTAGGTTGTCGTAGTCGCTTGGGCGGAAGGGGGCTAGTGAGATTTTCAGTTTCCGTGCATCTTCGTCGGACGGTGCGGCTGGGTCGGCGGCTGGGTTGGAGGGGAGGTCGAGGAGGTCCAGGATGCTATTTAGGATGACATCTTCGGCGTCCTTTTGGGTTTGGATTTGCTGTGCGTGCTGTAGGGCGATCTCTAGATGCTGTTGTGTAGCCCCGGGTCTGTCTCGGAGGTATTTGTCTTGCTCTTCTTGTGAGGGGTATAGGTATGACGGTGGCGAGGGTCGTTGGGCGTTGAGAGCTGCAAAGGTTTCAGGGAGAGAGGTCTTTAATTGTTGCGCCATGATGTAAGATAGGGTATATGAAGAGGGGAAGAAAATTTAGGGAGAAGGTAAAGCGGAAGAGGCAAACCCCGGATTGCTGACGTAGCTTGGGCAGAAGCAATATATGTCAGGTGTTCATAGCACAGACTTACTTAGTAGTGCTGTTAAGTGCCTACCAGCAAGTACTTACTTGTACTGTAGTACTGTAGAGAAATTGTTGCCTTATCCCCGTGTACGGTCTATATTGTGTAGTATCGTATACTTGACCCCTTGACCAGAAATACTCCTATTACTTGCTCTCATCCATAAAACAGACATATCTCTGCCCTCATAGCCTACTTCTGAAATTTGATATCCTGAATATTTCCCCATGTGCGTGTTCCCTGGTTGCTGTTAGCCGCCGATCGTCAGTGGAGCCCATTTCCCTCATCCCGCCAAGTGACGACCACACCTACACACCTACCTCATCTCCTTCTCCCTCTTCATCTGCTTCCTCGTCTTCCGGTATTTCCGTTTCATCTTGCATCCATTTCCTCACTGGCCCTGACGAGGGTGTTCGGTTCTCCACCGTGAGTGCTTCCGCAGTTGCCCCCTCCCCCTCATCTCCTGGCAGGCACCACTCATTGACGTCTGTTTCATCTTAGCTGACACACCTTCGTACCACCAAGGAATTGATTAATTTCTCCATACATCACTGCATGCTAAAGGTATCGAAGCTGGCGATTCGTCCTGTACAGATATCCTAGCGACATTGCCGTTTCACACTTCAGCATTCCTCCCTCCCCACAAGTCTGAACCTCGGTTTCGACTTGCCAGATGTCCAGCCCGCCCTTTACGGTCCGGGCGGTCTTCGAGTATGCTTCGGGCCATGATGACGACCTCCCCTTTCCGATCGGTCAGATCGTGACCGTCACCGCTCTGGAGGACGACGATTGGTACTACGGTGAATACTCAGATGCCTCGGGGGCTAAACAGGAGGGCATATTCCCGAAAAACTTCGTCGAAAAGTATGATCCTCCGGCTCCTCCGCGCCCATCCCGTCCGAGGCCGAAGAAGGAGCCCGAACCTGCGCCAGTGCAGTCACCTGTGATCGAAAGCCACCCGCTGCCCGAGCCCGAGGTAGAGGCACAGCCCGCGGAGGACGATCAGGACATTGCACCCCCACAGCCGCCTGTGCCCCAATCTCCTCCCCTGACTGCGACTACTTCTGTCGCAGAAGCTGCATCGTCGCCCCCGCAGCCGGCAAAGGCGCCCGCCCCCGCTCCTCCGGTAGCCCCAGTTGAACCCGCTGCCAAGGCACCGTCCTCCAAACCTGCTCCCCCGGCTGTCGCGGAGAAGCCTTCGGGATCCTCGTTCAGAGATCGCATTGCTGCCTTCAATAAGCCTGCTGCAGCACCAATTACGCCGTTCAAGCCTGGTGGTTCTCAGCCATCTTTTATCAAGAAGCCTTTCGTCGCGCCACCTCCCAGTCGGGATGCTTATAAGGCTCCGCCCAGGGAGCCTGCACCTCATGTCTATAAGAGAGAGGAGGACCCAGATGTCAAGGAACAGGTTGCCCGCGAGCCTCCGGTCTCCGAGACCCGCCCTCCTCCCATTGTTCCCATGGAAGGTGGTGAAGAGGGTGCAGAGGACCAACCTAAACCTACCAGTCTGAAAGACCGAATTGCCTTACTTCAGAAGCAACAATTAGAGCAAGCTCAGCGTCACGCGGAAGCAGCTCAAAAGAAAGAGAAGCCCGCTCGCCCTCCCAAGAAGTCCTCAGAGGAACCTGCAGCTCCCGCAGTTCCCGTGACACCTGCAGCCCTCGAGGAGGAACCAGAGACTCCTTTTGTTGAAGGAGCTCCGGCTGCCCGGGATCCCAGTGTTGATACAGTGAGAGCCCAAGCTCACACTGCACCACCACCCGTCCCCTTCTCACCCACCGAGGAAATTGCCAGTGATACCAACGACGCCGATGCCTCCGCTGCTGCAGACTCCGAAGACGCAGGAGAGACATCTACAAGCAAGGATGACGAGGAGGAGCAGCCTCGTCCAGTTTCCAAGCGTCAACCATCGACCCGAGCAGTCGAGCAGACTGCTGAGGAGGCCGATGTGGAAGAAGAGGACGAGGCAGAGGAAGAGGAAGAAGAGGAATTAGACCCTGAAACCAAGCGCAGAATGGAACTGCGCGCGCGAATGGCAAAGATGAGTGGTGGTATGGGTATGATGGGTCTCTTTGGACCACCTGGTGGGGGCATGCCGATGCCAGGCATGGCTGCCCCTGGTGCTGGTGCTCGCAAGCCCAAGACGCCTGGCGAGTCTGAGAAGAGAATTGGTGAGCCCGAACCTGAGCCTACCTCGCCTGCTGCTGCACCCCCGGTTCCTATGGTCCCCCTTCCTGGAATGAACTTGAATACCAGGCCGGTCCCCTCTTCTACAGATGTAGAGAAGGAGGAGGAAGAAACCCTGGCGACCCCCATCACTGAACAACACTCTGCACGCGAGGTGCCAGACGTTGAAGAGGTCGTCCATGAAGGCGCAGTCCCTCGTGGTTCTATTGACCGGCCTCCCCCTGCTCCTCCATCTCAAGGTAAGATACACCAACAACATGATGATTGGTTTCAACTGCTAAATACTGTAGATCGTTCGGCTCCTCCTCCGCCTCCTCGGGAATCAAGGCCTGTTCCGCCTGTACCAGCTGAACAACCGGGTTCCCCTCCACCAGTTCCTGGAGGTATGTTGCAAGTTTCCTATTCTTATGCTTGTAACTCAATACTGACTGTAATGAACAGCCCGGCCTGTGCCTGTTCCACCCAGACCCACCACCGCTGACAAGGGCGAAGAGTCCGATGATGAATTGTCGGTCCATGCAAGCAACCTGTCGTTGAATACTACGGGTCAGCCCACGGCTGCTCCACCGGCTGTGCCTGCTCCTGCGATGCCTGATCAGTTGGATTCTCGTCGTTCTTCCACGTATGACTCTGCTTCCTCTCCAGCCCTGACCCCTGCGGCCGAAAAGAGAGCCAGTCGTCCACCACCTCCTATCCCAACCAATCCACCCTTGCCACCATCGCAGGGACGCGCCCCGCCTCCACCTCCTCCCGGCCAAATTCGTCGCCGATCTACTGCTGACAGTCGCACCAGTGCGATGTCTGGCCCTCGACAGGCTGGAGAAGAGGCAGAAGGAGAGGTGACCGAATACGATGGGGATTACGACACTGATATTGCATCGGGAGTTAAACACAAGGATGCCTTGAAGTCTCACGAGCGTGACTCCAGCTTTGACGAGGGTACTATTACGGATGACATCTCTGTTCATTCTCCACGCAGCCCCCAGGAAGGTCGGCAACCCCCGCCTCTTCCGCCAACGGCTCCTAGAGGCGTTCCTCCTCCACCCCCAAGCCAGCCGCCCCGTAATGCTCGCCCGTCTATCGACACACCCAGGGGACCTCCTCCACCCCCACCAAACAGAGAGCCGGTTGGTGGTGACGATGATGAATATGACCCTTTCAACTACGCCGCTCCTCAGCATGGCCTCCCCAAATCTCCCGGTATTCCGCAGGGACGCCCTGAGGCGCCACCTCCTCCGCCGCCACAGCAAGCGAACGATGACTATGATGATCTGTATGACGCCCCTCCAGAACCGCAGAGTCCATCACAGGGAAGTGCCACTGCTTCGCACCAGAAACGGTCCTCGTTCGTTCCTCCGCTTCCCCAAAGCCAGGCTCCAGGCATGCCATCTCCATCTGCAGCCCGAAGCCAGCGCGCATCGATGGATCTATTGAGAAATCAGCCTAACCTTCGTCGGTCCATGGATGTTTCTCGCCCGTCGGTTGATCTTGGTTACATTGCTGCCGATGTTGATCTCTCTGAGACTACGCTCTGGTGGGCCCAGCCCAACACTCCACCTCCGGTTTTCCAAAACCGCAAGGATCTACTTTTCGAGATCGAGGAGTCTGCTTCTACGAAGCGCGGTGGAAAGACATCGGTCTCAAAGGACGTTTATATTCTGTTCATCGATTACTCCCAGACGATCGTGAATGTCAAATTCGACGCTAAGAACCCCGCGGATGCTTCTCTAGAGCAGCGCCATGAGTCCCCACCTCTCCAGCCCCGTCAGGATCAGTTAGAGCAGGCCCATATCCATCTTGGAACCAAGATTTCCGAAGCCGTCAACTCAATTCAGAACTCCACCGTTGGAGACGGCTCTCCATTTGGACTGGTGCAGTACCTGCTCAACCCTCTATCTGACGCTCTTCTCCCCGTCGGCACTCGTGGATACGGTGCCTTGGTCTACTCAAACCTGGCCAATGCTTCTGTATCCCAGAACGACGAAATTCGCGCTGGTGACATTGTCAGCTTCCGCAACGCCCGCTTCCAAGGCCACCGCGGCACAATGCACCAGAAGTACAGCGCCGAGGTTGGCAAACCCGACCACGTAGGTATCGTCGTTGACTGGGACGGCACGAAGAAGAAGATCCGAGCCTGGGAACAAGGCCGCGAGAGCAAGAAGGTCAAGATGGAAAGCTTCAAGCTGAACGATCTCCGCAGTGGCGAGTGCAAGGTCTGGCGTGTGATGCCCCGTAGCTGGGTAGGCTGGGAAGCCGGCAAATAAGCAGTTGAATTAGGATTGGATTCTGGACTTATCGTTCTCGGAGCCAACCCTTTTAGCAGTTATTGCGCTATGAGCAGACGACCTTTCCTTTGTGTCTCTCTTTCCTTTTCTCTCCTTTTTCTCCCCCGTTTCCCTTCTAGATTGGGTGGGATCCTGTATGAATGAAAAGGTGCTTCCTTTCTCTCCTTGTTCCTCTATATCTTTCTCTCTTCTCTTCTCTCCTGTCTTGTCTTCTGTCCTCCTCTCGTGAATCATCTGGACCCCTGTGGTAATGTGAAGTCGGGGGTGGATTCCTGTTTGACGGAGAGTTCAGCGAGCGTGCAGCTTTTTTCACTTTCTATGTCAATGGTAACTTACATTTTGCATCATTCTGCCTTTGGTTTTTTTGAATATTTTCTGGGTACTGACCAAATGGGGGTGCTTTTCGGGCATCAATTAGAAATTGTAGGTATAAGTTTGGTCTCTTGAGCTATCTGCTTGTTATTTCTTATGCTACAAAGGTCAGGCTATATATATGCGTGTTGGTACTTGTGTGAGGTCGCGTATATATACTACTTAACCATGGCCTTTTATAAAGCCCTACATCATTTGAGCAATCTACAATAAGTTATATCCTTGAATCCCAATAAAGGCCAAACCGTGGTCTAGAACGCAGTCAGAAATAAATTAACAAGCACCAAAACTCGTAGCGAAGCACTAAGGAAAAAACCTTCTCTGATTAACGGAGCCAAGACCCTCAAGGCGACCCCACCAAAACGCCCCTGGACCGTTGGAGCAGTTAGCAGTTTGACCATAAGCCTCAAGCAGAAAGAAGAGAAAAAGAGCCCACCACACAGGCACGTTTGGCACAAAACGTTTGGCACAAACTCTATAACCCCTCTGATACCCGAGGAAAAAAAACCCAAACCCAAACCTAGCTCCGCACAACACCTGGCAATTTTCATCGCCTGAAACGCCGGCTTCAAGCTTACAGCCTCAGAGACTGGGGCCCCCCGGCCCCCTCCCCCTCTCAAAACGGGGCACAATGGGGAGCGAGAGAGGGGCACCCGCCAATTACGACCTTTGAGGCCGGGACTTTTTTTTGGTAGCTTTCGCGAAGGAAATTTTACTGTGTGCCGTGTTCGTGCGGCAATCGACAATCGACAATCACTGGTTCGAGACCCGGCACGCTCGTCCGGATATTCGCGATCGGATCGGTTGTTGATTTCCGTGCTGATCACGGTGAATATCAGTTGTGGTGGTTGGTATCATGCAATACGGAGTATTGTACATTGCATTGTACATTGCATTGTTGAGACTATAGATCCATGTAAGGTACATGCACACTTACGGTGGACAAGGTAAGCTACGGGAGTACTATTCGGCACTATATTTGGGACTTACAGTACATGTAAAGGTGATAGATCCAGTAACGTTATCGGAGATTAAACTGAATTTTGTGCACACGAGGACATACTACGGAGGACTGCTTCGTTTTTTGTTTTTTTTGTTTTGTTTTGTTTTTTTTTTTTTGCGGAGTACGGAGATGTATACACGGACTGTACACTACATGTATATTCGACAACCCTAAATCATAGATTAATGACATCAATCTCGATCTACCATATTCTTGTTTTGTGTCTCTACAACTGTGGACCGGGGAACACGGTGACCATCCCCATTGGGACTAGTCAGGGGCACTATACCTTACACTTCCAATAGTCTCTTTTTTTCTCTCTTCCTTTTCATTTCCAGGAAGCTTTACCAACGGCTGTCACCGCTTGCCGGTTACATGTACCGTTCTAGGCTTCGGTCCTGGTGATCTCATGGGTTCCACGCCCTTTTTTTTTTTACCTTTCCTTCTTATGATTCAACTTTCTAACTCCGTAATAAACTCTGTATTATTAATGCCAGACCTGGAGCCCTGAACGCGCTGGAAGATGCCGGTCTCCATCTCAGCCCATGGTTCTGGTTTCGGGTGGGATCCACGTCTAGCAAAAATCTGCATACATGTAGCTGACGGAGTACAGCCCCCATCGGCCCTGCACAATGCAGGAGGTCCTGCAGTGCGGAAAATAAAATAAATGCATTGTATTCTGTCGCCTGTAGCCCGCAAGGAGATTTATCTTTGGCCGGCTCTTGCAGGACTGGTCTGATGTTGTGGCTGAGTCCTGCACGCCATGTCCATTTCGCTAATCTCAGCCATGTCAGCCATATTTAATATAGTGATCTCGTGTACATGCCCTATGCAGTAGGCAGTACACTGTGTTGCAGAGGCGAATCTGCCAATTTGCCTTTTATGCTGGGCGATTGGTTTACCCCGGGTTGGTATTCCCTTGCGGGCTGTCTACCATGCAAGGAGTTGAGTGGTCTATTTAAGACCATTTGATATCAGGGTCTGATACTCAGTTTATGATTCATAATAACTCCATCGGATGGACTGGATCACCTTCTCCATTTGATTTCAGCTCCGATCTGGTATGAAGTAATAAAGCGACGATCTTGCTTCCCGTGTCCAGGCCCTCGGATCTCGGGAAAAGATTTTGACTGGCCGGTTCCCAAGACTGTTTGGATGCACTGTAGACACATGTATGTACATGTCTGGCCAGTGTCGCATGGCGTAGAGAGGTGGCGTTCGGCCCCGGGTTCCACCGAGAGGAGAGAGACATATACCGAGATAGTAAGTTAAGAGGGATGAAGCAAGGGGATGTATTGTGTGACGGTAATTTAGGGTATATTTGGCGTGTGGGGGGATCTGAACACTGACTTATGACCATACCATACACGAGTTCCATGGATGTCTCTCGGGTAGCCCCTTGAACTTCAGGTTTCAGGGGATATAGTATGAATGTAAACAAACAAGTCCAGTCTATAGTATATTTCAGTGACTAGAAACTGTACTTTCATTCGAAACATCTCATCTTTGTGATGTGAACGGTGGGCTCGACGATCCCGAAGTTCATTTTAATTTTTTTAATTTTACTTCGACGCTAAGGGATCCATTCCAAATCGTGACATTCTTCGCGTTCCCTATGTGATTTGTCTACTCCAGATATCTCTGGCATTTCGGACTTTCAACCTCTCTCTCTCTCTCTGACTTAGGTCATGCCGCTCTCTTCATCCTCTGGATAGCATCCAGTGAGTCAGTCTTTCCAATTGAGGGGGCATATACTGATTTATCGGCATTTAAAGTACACTCCACATAACCGACATTCGTTCAATCCATTGCCCACTCATCGCGATACTGTACATTCCTTTCTCGCCGATTACGGCCTGCTTCCCGAACTCACATTACCAATGATGAACCGGTTCCGCAAGAATAAGAAGGTGAAGGACACCTTAGGGGGTCTCGAGGGGGAGTCACCAACATTCGGCTTAAAAGGATCCAAGAAGAAAGATGTGCAGGAACCCAAACCCGACTTCGACCTCTCAGCCGCCCTCCCATCAACAGATGACTTCCGCACCAGTCTGCTAATGCCGAAGCTGTCGGCTCGGTTTAGCATGCTGAAGGAACAGGATGACCCGCTCTCATTACTCGGCAAGGCGAGTGACGACAGCGTGTTGTTCCCCAAACGCGCCTCAAGATTGAATCTCTTCGGCCACAACCCTAATATGCTCGCGGATATCGATGAATGCTCCTCCAACGACGGGAGCAGACCCTCCATGGCCCTCGGCCGCACGGATTCATTCGCCTCTGGGGGAGATGGATACGGCACAGACGATGACCGATCACAAGCCGGGAGTATGATGAGCAGAGGACGTCGGGCGGAAGGCAATAACCTGTTTGGAGGTCGCCAGAAGGTGTATAAGATCCCGGTTCGAGGCCCGGGGGGACCTGGCGGTGCGCCAGAGAGCGGTAGTCGGGGAATGGGGAAGCCGGTATATGAACACGACATGAATCTTTCGGCTTTCCAGCGACTGCGTCTTAAGGAGAAGGAAGAGAGGACCGCGGAGGAGCCGCGCGAGGCTGCTGCTCGGGAATCAGAATACGCTCCTTCGACTGTCTCTTCGAACGACCGCACGACATACTCCTCTACTACCTCCGGACCTTTGTCAAACGTTCACTCACTGACTCCCGCGACATCGGTCGACGAGTCGCCTTTAAGCGCATCATCCCAGCCTCCAGCGGCTGGTTATCCATTCCCAGAAACCCTCACTGAGCCTCATCGGTCTGGCTCTGCCATGTCTAACCCCAAAACTGGCTCGGTTCGATCCCGTCGACTTTATGGCCAGGGATTGACCCAGGCAGCCCAGAACCAGCAGACCTCCACTCTGCATCGCCTGGAAAGTCTGAGCCGTCAGCGTGCAGGAACGCCTGACCTTCCTTCTTTGAACCGCAACTACTCTCGGAGTGCGAGCAACCTGCGTGATCGCCTGCAGAAGCTTGCTGTTAATGAGCCAGCTTCGACTTCTCCTACCAGCCCACCTTCGTCCGCGACATCTCCCAAGCCTCGCATTTCCGGAGAGTCTTCTCTGAAGGATCGCATCTCACCAACAGCAGCAACTTTCGGAGCTGTTCCTCCATTGAGCCCTCCTTCCAGCGAGGCTGAGGATGTTTCCGCCCTGCTAGCTGCTTCAATTCACCCCGAAGACCACGGCAAGGCCACTGCCATGGGCTTGTTCAACCGCCCTGCCACAGGATTCGACGAGCAAGCATTCTCCCGTCGTCAGCTTCAGATGCACCAAGGACGAGATACCCCGCCGCCGCGACGGGCATCACCCCCACGCCGGCCTCTGCCCGCAGAGCCTGTCAGCAACCGCCCACGAGGACTGTCCAAATCCAGCTATCGCTCCAGAGCCGAGTCCGCTTCTTCCCACTACAGCAGTGAGGCGCACCGTGGTGTTGATCACTCTCGCGCCTCCAGCACCGAGGCTTCCCCCTATATACCTGGAGCGAAGACTTTCTATGCCAACTCGACTGCCAGCGAATCGGGGGATGAAGGCGATGATCGCCGCTCGCACGACCTCTCATCGGCCACATCTTTGGCAACAGAGTATGGCCAGTCGATCCAGCGTTCTAGTGTGGCATCCAACGCCCCGTCCACCCAAGCCAAGGATCACCTCGAAACTCTTCCAGAAGTGAGATACTCGGATCTAGGCGACCTCAAGCCCATTGAGGAGAATGAAACTTTTGATGCCGTTTCCTCGCACGAGGCTGTCCCGACGAGACCTGATTCCCCGACTATCCAGGCAGACGCAGGTCTCGGTGGGATGGGTGGAATGGTTCGCTCTCACCTTCGCCAGCAAAGTGATCGATCCTCTATCTTCCCTCTACCCTCGCCTCGTCTTCCTGAGCATCAGCCGGATGGGATTGTGCCAAAGGAAACCGACCAGCCAATTCACACTTCTATGGAACAATCCCGTGAAGATTCTCGGCCGTCATCAGCTGCACGTCCCAGTTCATCAAGCTCGCAGGCTCCGTCAAGTCATTTCGCAGAGGGAACTGGTTCCCGCAACAGCCAGGACTCTTCTGCCCCTGGCACTATTGGGGACAGCGGTTCCGCGTCGAATATCCCATCATGGAAAGAGGAAATGGCATCATTCTCCCATCGCCGTGACGGAAGCACAGACACCCAGAGGGAGCGCGAGGAGTTCGCCATTGAACTGGCCGAACGACGCAGAAAGGTGCAGGAGAAGCTACGAAGTGTTGCCGAGAGCGAGAGCAGATCCAGCAGCCCTACTCCTGGCCGTTCAACCCCCGACTTCACCAGGACCGGAAACGCATTCGCTCTCTTGAAGCACAAGGCCACCAAGCAAGCCACACCCAAGCCAGACCAGAAGAAGCTGTTTGGCTACAACAACTCGTCCTCCCCCGCTCTTGCTTCAGATGACTCGTGGCGAGAGGAACGTCCCTCTTTCAGTTTTGGCCAGCACTCCAACTCTAGCTCTCCCCAAGTTGGAGAGCGTTCATTCAGATCCCGTATGCCAACTCTCAGCCGCGACAACAGCCACGAGGAATCACGCGAGTCCAGCCGCAGCCGTGGGCCATCCCCGCACGGGGGCTTCCGATCCCAGAGAGACCGTTCAGGCTCTGATGCATCTGGCCGCTCCAAGAGCCGGACCAGATACCGCGAGCGGGATGATCTCCAGACCGTGGAGGAGGGATCGGTCATTGCGCATGATAACTTCGTTGTCCCTGAAGGCTTCGAGCCTCCCATGCCCATTTCTCTCCCCGCTTCCAACCGCCCATCCGTTGAGATGACGGAGCCATCGAACTTTGACCGTGCTCCCTCTGCCGCCTCGGGCAGATACCGCAGCACCAGCCGCTCAGGCACCCCGAGCTTCCAGTACGAGCGTCCGTTCCAGTTCTCCAACTCCAACACACCCTCGGTCATCGGAGCCTCGCCCCGGCCTTCACCTGCTGCACCCCCCTACTCTGCGAACGCAACTCCTCCCCTGAACGAGGTCCCAGCCGACGCCTCATCCCCGTCTCTAGCTTCCGCAGCCAGCTCTTTCCACGCAACACCCCAACGTGCCCCAGGACACACCTCCCTCCTGAAGCGCCCGGTGAACAAGAAGCAAATCTCAGAGCCGACATTCGTCTCTTCAACATCCAACGTTCCCCTCGTCGGCCTCCAGTCTCAATCCGGCGGCGCACCACCCCTACCCCCAATGAACCCCCGCCGTCGCCGCGGCACAGCAACCCAAACAATCCTGGGTGCCTTCAAGAGCGACAAGCACGAATCGTCGCGGGTCGCATCGCCAGCTCCCAGCACTATGGAGGAACATAGCGTCTTCCCGGACGATGAATCCCGTCCCCGCTCTCGCAATCGTCTTCGCAAGACTTCTAGTGAGAGTGGTAACCTGAACGCGCGGGCGCGCCAGGAATCTCGGTCCGGGTCTCCGCCTGCTGTCCCTCAATACCCTCCTCCTGCCATCCCTGTTGATGGTGGCATGTTCTGACCTAATCATCTCTTACGATTCCCGTTCTTTACATATTTCCTTGGACCGGACCTTGACTTCGACTCTTTTCCTTTTCCTTGCCATACCATTCCATCCATGTCTATTTACCATCCCCATACTTGTCTCTGTCTAGAACTGATCTGATCACTTTCACTCCCAATTCCCGGGTTTCATGTTTTTTTATCTCCTTTTCGTTTTGTGCTTTTGTTCACTTTCATCTTGACGACTAGATACCATTCGGTGCATTTGAGCTAAGCGTCTCGTCTTCCAATCTTTTCCTTTTTCCCTTTTCTTTTGGTTCCTTTTTGGTTCTATATATTCCATCTTTCCGTGCTGGATTGTTTTTCTGTGTATGTACTCTATCTTTTCAAGTGTATTGTTCAATGGATACATATCCGGTTTTAATCATGCCTTGTACCGTAACTGATAAGTGTAAGTGTAGGATTGTAGGGTTGGTCTATGTAAAAGATGGGCAAGTTATGGAGGACTTAACCTGTCATTTAACAAGAAGACTCTAAATGCTAGTGTCTGCCTAGCAGGAAAAGCCGTCAGTATAGTGTGGTGAATAGAAGAGTAAGGTAAATCTATATTGGTCCATGGAAATAACATGAAGCTTCAATTAATTACATATAGCGGACAGTGGACGCTTATATCGGATATAAGGCGCAATATAGGAACCTTATAACACTTGGTAAGAATAACTACTAGACCATTCGAAGTCCTGTAAAGTTAGTCAAAGGAAAAGCATAATGTTAACCTATGTTGACCCCCGGTGATATGTTAGATAACGGAACTTAATCGGTGATATCAAAATATCATATGTAGTCAATAGAGGCGAAAGGCTAATCTATGTCAATCCACGGAACCAAATACAACAGAACCTAATCAGTAGTATCAGATCATCAGACTTGAGAACGTCTAGCAATAAATATCCACTAGATCATTCAGAATCATGAATATTGTAGTCAAGAGAAGCGTAAAGTTAATGTTCGATCCAGGGAAACATATTTGAAACTTCCGCCCATAATTAGCAGACCGAAAACGCCAGTATCAGAATGTGATATCGGATCACTCAGCAAGTATGAGCACCAGACCCCGTCACTGCCGCAACGTCTTAGTCCCATCAATCACACCCCGAGCAAAAGCTCCCCCTCATGACAGCACTCTCAATAGTGATCAACCCGTGACAGTCGAACCTCCCGCGACGAAGCACTCTCGGAAATTAACAGGCGGCACTCCAGTGCGAAACATTTCCGCCATCCCCAGTACCGCATGGGCAGCCAGCTCCAGTGCATCAGCTCTTTTAATGCCCTCCTTGACACTGCCATCGAGTAAGTCATCCAACGCAACAGACAGAAAGCCATTGATGACCCGGCGAGCATAGAGGCGGCATCGAACGCACCAGCATCAATTATCTCGACTTGCCCAAGCATCTTAAATTTCCAAACAAGATCCTCCTGTTGAGCTAGGTGTAGCATGTCATTGCGTTCAATGATAGTCATTGACCAGCCAATCTGTGCCGCCATATTGGGAATTGCCTGACAAAGCAAGGAGGAGGATAATAATCCTGATCACCGTCTTTGATCCAACCCTTTGTCTCTTGCGTCGTTAGACCTTCCTGGATGCTGATCACCATTTTTCCTGCTAGGGCTCTCTTCACGAGTCTCTGACTCAAAAATTGTCAGGTCATGTGCGGCTTGTGCTACGACGACGATTTCGCAGCCATCCATAATGGTCAAGTTGTTACTATTTCCGAATCGAGTGTTTTGCAGCGCCTACCTCCGCCACGGAAGTCCACCCATCTTCGGTATACTTTGGGAATTGAGCTAGCAAGCGATCATGCGAGACGGTAGTTTCTGTGCCGACTACGAGTGAAATAGTGATTTGCTTTTGTCGTCGTGGCGGATTGAATTGAGGCAGCAGGAGACGATTCTTGTGCCCATTTTTTCTGTTTCTCTTGTTAGTGGGGGTCGTTTTGGCGAACAAGGAAGAGTCTGGTAGGTACCTCATCCAATGATTCCTATAGTCTTATCTATGAAACCGAATGGCATTTTTGCGAATCTGTCAATTGCAATCGAACAGGTGAAGATATCGGAATCTTTCCTCTGTTGACGCTCCACACAGGATGGCTTCTCATCGCATTCGATCTTCGCTTAATCTCCAAGCGGTTTACTATTTAGATACATTGACTGTTGGAGGTGGTATTTTGTTGCATGGTCTATAGAAACGCCTGAAATCCTAGTATACATTCGTAGCCTATGCTTTCGCCGCAGTTTTCAAGTATCCCAGCACCCTCTCAACAAGGAACTTGCGCGGCTCCGCCTGATCATCATTGCTCAAAGCATGAGAAGCATTGGGGATAACACCCGTATGCTGGTCATCCCAGATCTGATATTTGCCATTGTGGTCGGTAGCATTCTGCCACCTAGCCAGCATCTTATTCTTGTCAACCCAATCAGGAATAGACTGGTCCTTCCCAGAAATCAAGACCATCAACTTATGATTGAGCAATCCGCGCTCATGAATCATACCAAAAGTCTTCCCAAATTGCGCGTCACTCAGATCAGAACTGAACAGATCATCCTCCTGAGGCGATTGCGGACTCTCGGGACTAACAAGACTCAAGAACCGCCTGCAACTAATAGGCGTGTTCGCAGGATAAATCATGGAAGTCAACTCCAAAGGCAGTATAGTATCATGTTTGGAATCACGAGCAACAGCCTCGCGCGCCAGCAACTCCATTTCATCGTATACAGCACGAGCCTTCTCAGGCGTCGTATCACCGATACCCCATTTCAAAACCCAAAAGATAGCCTCGCGATCCGAAACGGGAGCTTGCATAATCGCGCCATCAAGCACGGGCCGCTTAATGTGCTCGACATCTGGGTCAAAGGCTGGGACGTTTGTGTGGGGGTTTGCTTGGGAGAGATAGTGCAGCACGCATTGGCTGCCGGTGGAATGGCCCATTACGGCGATCTTGCCGCCGCCGAATTTGTCTTTCTTGTATTCTTTAATATACTCCAAACACTGCGCGATCTCGCTCGTGTCACGGTCCAGATGGCCAAGGCCCCAGGATTGGTAGGAGGAGGTGAGGTTCAAGGTGAAGAGGGACCATTCGGATTGCTGTAATGCGCGCGCGAGATCGGCCATGTATGATGTTGTTGCAAGGCCGTCGCCTAGTCCTCCGACGAAGAGGAGACTGTGTGGTTGGCGGACGGTGCTGGAGGCATATTCGAATGTGACGAGGGTTTCGGTCTGGTTTGTTTGTTAGCTCCCGTCAGGGTCTAATTGACTTTCGTGGGGAGCAGAAACTCACGTAGTGGTGCAAGATGCCGGGAAGGCCTCCCTTGGGCCAGAATTTAGACATGTTGGCGCGTAGATGCTGATACAGTATGATGGGCAAGCTTGAGGAATGTTTCTAGGAGAGGAAATTGGTGGATCGTTCGATTTGCCGAGCTCGGGGTTTGAGGTTCCGCATGACGCAGTCTGTGGGATTCTGCATCGGTTAGGGAGACCGAATGCGATCCACCGGTCAAATGTTTCAGAGCATCTTATCAATCTGATTACGCCGTGTCGAGCCGGGACTATTAGGTAACAAGTCTCACTTTTGGCAGCCAAGACCAGAGATTGCGCGGTTGAAATGCTGTGTTTGGGTTTCTGTAATACCAGGTATAGGTTGCGTATCATCTGAAGGGATACCAATACCGTAATATACGGGAATATTGCATGAATACCAACGGTATCGCACTAAGTGGGTTCATGCTACTGTAGAGACTGTCTCGCCTAGCAGGGCCAAGGAGCCCACAAAAGCTCTGATACGAGCCCAATGGAGGTCAAGTACCATCCCCCGTTTCTGCTAGGAATACGGTACATATGCACCAACCAGCGCTAGTCGGAGATAGGTAAGACCAACGGATCTGATTAGATTGATTGGTCGAATCAGTTCGAATCAGATTAGATTGCCCCTCGGTGAAAACTCTATCCGGGCAAGATCGGAGTTAATTTCATCGCTGCATCTCAGCAATACCTGTGCTATACATGAGCTTCGAAGGCCCAGTTTCTCCTGAATGCTTAGGAACGCTTGGTCACTCAAGAGCTAGCCCTACCCGACTCAAGCTTCTAGCAGAAGATCACTGCCAAAGGAGGTGCGTTTTGAGATGCTTGGCCAAAAGCCAAGTCGAACCACAAAGTTCAACTTGCAATTTCGTCAACCAATGGTGAAAATATAGACGAGGAGGGGCTCATGGATATTGTGGCGTTCGCGAGACTTCAGAAGGCTTTCGACAAGCGAGCCAAGACATCACTCAAAAGAGCAGGTACATGTAAGACGCTAACCAGAGCCATTTTTCGCTTTTTGCTTTTTTTCTCTCTCCGTCCATGTTTTTGTATCAACCGGACCAAGCGCATATATTTTTGATTGTAACAAATCAGTATTAAGAACGAGAAATGCGACGCGTGTGATCTGAGTGGGTCTCGGAGTGACAAGATGTCGCAAAGATCCTCGCTCTCATTGGGCATTGCACCGGGCATTTCCGAAAAACTTCACAATAGAGTGTCTTCATGCACGGCCAGCGGTTTTATTTCCATTTCAGTTAGGGGTAGGGCCGCTGCGTTCGAAATGTAACCACCATCTCCCCTCATGTCTCGATATTTCCTAGTCTAACATTAAACCCACCACTAGCCCTATAGGAAAACTGGCTTGGGTCGATTCCGTGTCCTTGGCACCAATTTGTATTTTTTTCTTTTTACGTTTCTTTCTGATGACGCACTACCCACGTGTGGATCAGTCATTTACATTACTTACAGTACAGTATGAATTCCATCTTAACGGGCACTATGAAACCTAAGCAGTCCCCGGCCCGTTTCTTCTTTCGAGTTGAACCCACCACGCAATAGCCGACCTCGGGCAAGATGCGCAATACATGCATGGAAAAGTTGACGCTTCGGAAGTTAGGTGGAGCACAACGCGACAGAACCGTGGCTTAGTATAAGAGTCAGCCATACCACTTCCGCCAAGTCGACCCGCTCCAATTTCAAGAGCTCCCACTCCTTCTTCACGTAAAGATCAGGGATCTAGGACCAGCTGTGCTGGTCTACCCTTAAGATGGGTTTCATCCCGCTCGAACAGGCGAACCTACCCTGTGCGCCAACAAACGGTGTCGAAAAAATGACGACAACGCAGGCCAATGGCGACGACTTTGTGTCTTTCGATATCGCCGGCCTTGCCTCTGATACCCCGAGCCCGACCGGCATGAAAGAGGAGGTCGTGTTGCTCTCATGGCTAATGGTTCTTCTGCGAAGCCGCGAAGATGCCCAAATATCCTACGAGTGGACTTACAAACATGACGCGCATTATGTGGCGCAGGAGCCAGTCAACAAGCTGTCAATGAATGAAGTAATGAGAGGATTAGACAGTAATGTCGGAGAAGTTGGTGCGACAATCGCGCGCAATATTGCGACAGGTTCACAAGCCGCTTCAAATCCGGCATCCCTAGTTCTGAGCACGAGCTCCCTTTTAAGAGAGCCTGCCGAAACAAAAGATGAAGTGAGTGTGTGATAAAAGTTGGCTTCCAGGTAATAGCTAACCGTAATCGCAAGGATGTACTTCATCTCGAAATTCGCTTCAATAATGCGCGCCTCGAAATCCGCCCTGTGTGGCACATCGAGAAGATGCTGCCATACGCAGTGAAACACCATATCGAGGCGCTAGCTGATACTATCAAAGTGTGCCTTTCAAGCTCCGATACGACCATCCAAGACTGCCTGAAACCGACAGAAAGCGATCTGAACGACATCTGGGGGTGGAACCACAAGCTGCCTCCTACCCACAGCTTCTGTATGCAAGACAGAATTGCCGAGAGAGCTCGAGAACACCCAGACAAAGTCGCGATTGATTCCTGGGACGGCAGCTTGACCTACGGTCAAGTTGATCAGTATTCTACTTATGTAGCATGCTCGCTCGTCGAAATGGGCGTCCAGGTACATGACGTCCTTCCAGTATGCTTCGAAAAGTCAAGATGGACCATTGTCGCCGTGCTCGGTGTGATGAAGGCTGGAGGTACCCTCGCCCTCATGGATCCAACCCTTCCATTGGCCCGTCTCCAGAACATGAGTGTGCAAGTCGGCGCAAAATCGATGGTTGCGTCTCGCAAGCAATATGAACTGGCCCAAACAATTCTTCCCAGTGGTCAGCACTTCGTTGTGGACGAAGAGACATTCACAAATTTGGAGAACTCTCCATCAATTACTACCCTACCAGTTGTGCCTCCGTCCGCCCTCCTATACATTATCTTCACCTCTGGCAGCACTGGTACTCCCAAGGGAGTGATGATTTCCCATGAAACATACACAAGCAGCGCTCTTCCTCGAGGCGAGGCAGTTGGCTACACTCCCCAGTCCAGAGTCTTGGATTTCGCGTCCTACGCTTTCGATGTCAGCATTGACAGCATGCTTGTCACCATCGGAAATGGCGGCTGTCTTTGCATTCCCTCTGATGAGGACCGACTGAACGATATCAATGACGTGATTCGGAAGTTCCGAATCAACTACACTGGCCTGACCCCTTCAGTGGGCCGAATCTTGGAACCGGATGTTATTGCATCTCTCAGTGGTCTTGGGCTTGGTGGAGAGGCTGTCTCGGCCAGAGACGCCAATAACTGGGGCAAAGAGACCCGTATCATTATCGGTTATGGCCCCTGCGAATGTACAGTTGGATGTACTATCAACAGCAGCGCTGCCACTGGCAGGGATTACATTTCCATCGGTCCTGGAAATGGTGCTGCCATGTGGATCGTGAACCCGAATGACCACAACGAACTTGTTCCAGTTGGTGGTGTGGGTGAGCTGCTTGTCGAGGGTCCTATTGTTGGACAGGGTTACCTCAATGACCCCGAGAAGACCGCCTCTGTTTTCATCAACGATCCTACCTGGTTGGTTGCCGGTCACAAAGACTACCCCGGTCGTCAGGGCCGCCTGTACAAGACTGGTGACCTTGGTAAATATGACCCGGACGGCTTGGGGGGTATTGTCTTCGTTGGCCGCAAGGATACCCAAGTCAAGCTTCGTGGGCAGCGTGTCGAGCTTGGCGAGATCGAGAGCCAGCTTAAGGCTGTTCTGCCTTCTGATGCCAACATCATCGCCGAGGTGATCACTCCAAAGGAGTACGGAGGCCAGGCGATGCTAGTCGCATTTGTTACATTCGGTTCTACAAAGGGACCGACTGATCTTGCCTTAGAGCCCCTTTCCAGCGAGCTGAACGAGGTCATCACCAAGGCTAATGCGGATGTTGCAAAGGTCTTGCCACGGTACATGGTGCCGACTATCTATATTCCGGTCAACATGATGCCAGTGTTGATTTCAGGCAAGACTGATCGGAAGCAGCTCCGCGCATTCGGTTCCACGGTTGACCTGCGTCAGTTGGATCAAGGCGCAGCGAGCACCGCATCTCGAGAGCTCAGTGAGCTCGAGCAGCGTCTGCGAAAGACCTGGGGCGAGACACTCAAGCTTGGTGCTGAAGCTATTCGACCGGATGACAACTTCTTTGCCCTTGGTGGTGATTCTCTGGCAGCCATGAGACTCTCGTCCGTGTGCAGAGCACAGGGTCTCGATCTCTCTGTCATTGACACCTTTGGCAACCCGACACTCTCTGCAATGGCCAGCGTCGTTAAGCCCTGCAGCACCGAGACTGAGACGGAAATTCCTGCATTCTCATTAATCTCCCAGCCTGTCGAGAGTGCCCGTCTCGAAGCAGCAGAGGCCTGTGGCGTTGACAAAGAGGCCATCGAGGATATCTATCTATGCACACCCACCCAAGAGTCACTGTTCACTTTCTCACTCAAATCTGCCAAGGCATACATTGCCCAGAGAGTCGCAAGTATCCCATCGCATATTTCCACTGATGCCTGGAAGAAGGCGTGGGAGGATGTTGTCGCCGCAAGCCCTATCCTCCGCTCTCGTCTGGCACCTCTCCAAGACCCTGGTCTCCAGCAGATTGTTGTCAAGGAAGGCGTTTCCTGGAGGTATGCCACCGACCTGGAGCAGTACCTTGAGAACGACCGAAGTGAGCGCATGAACCTCGGACAAAGTCTGGCTCGCTATGCCATCGTCGCAACCGACAACAATCGATACATGGTCTGGACCGTTCATCACGTTCTCTATGACGGATGGTCAGAGCCGATTGTCCTCAAGCAAGTCAGCGATGCGCTGCAAAACCAGTCCGTCGAGATCCAGACAAAGATGCGGAACTTCGTCAAATACGTGCGTGACACCGACGAGAACTCTATGCATGAATTCTGGCGTCGTGAACTTAAGGGTGCCGTTGGTCCTCAATTCCCTCGTCTTCCCTCCCGAGACTTCATGCCAACTCCCAATGGCCTGATTGAGCATCAGATCTCCCTCGAGCCCAACGCCGGCTCACCTTTCACAATGGCCACACTGGTCCGCGGTGCCTGGGCACTGGTATCATCCCAATACACCGGAAGCGACGATGTGGTCTTCGGCGAGACCCTCACCGGTCGTGATATTGCTCTGCCCGGCGTTGAAAGTATCGTCGGACCCTTGATCGCAACAATCCCCATCCGTGTTCACGTCCGCCGCTCAAGCTCCATTGAGACTTATCTGCAGACGATCCAGCAATCTGTCTTGGCGCGCACACCCTACCAACACATGGGAATGCAGAACATCCGAAAGGTCAGCCAGGATGCCCAGTACGCATGCGAAGCCCCCACCGGTATTGTCATCCAGCCCGACCCGGAATACGTGGGCAGTGAACTCGGCTTTGAGCTTGGAGACGTCGTGCGCGAAGCAATCCACTTCAACCCGTACCCGGTCATGATAGCCTTTGGAATCCGCAAGGGCGGTCTCAGAGTCTGCGCAAGCTTCGACACCAGTCTGATTGAGGGCTCCCAAATGCAGCGAATCCTTGCCCAGCTGGAGACTGCTTGTAACCAGCTATCGAAGGGTCTTGATCGGAGACTTAATGAGATCTCTTGTCTTCCTGAAGCGGAGGTGAGTCAGATCTGGCAGTGGAACCAGACTCCTCCCCTCTCTGTGGACGAGTCTACTGGTAAGCTCCGCGCGCAGGCCACTATGAAGCAAGGATCTGTCTATCCCCGTGCTGTGGTCCCCTGGGTGTGCGATGCACGCAACCCGGCACTTTTGTCGCCGATCAACTGTGTTGGTGAGCTCTGGCTCGAGGGAGATTGTCTCTCCGGTGAGACTGTTGAATCTCCAGCCTGGCTTGTGGCTGGCAGTTCTGGATCCGCTGGCCGGACTGGAAAGTTGCAGCCGACTGGTGATATGGTGCAATTGCGTGAGGATGGAAGCATGGTGTTTGTCGGCCGTAAGGAGAATGTCGTGGCGCTCCAAGGACATGCAATTGATATTGCTGACCTTGAGTCGCATTTTGTTGACCACCTCCCACCATTAACTCGTGCTGCTGCGGCTGTTTTCATGCCCTCAGCAGATGATACCCAGAAGATGATGGAGCAAGAGCTCGTTGTCTTCGTTGAGAAGCAGCCTTCTGATGAAGACAGCATTCAGATTATCTCAGAGAAGCACGATGTTGCCAACAGTAAGTCTGGCTTTGGGACAACTCTATGTGACGCGATTCCAGTCAGCCTTGCTGTTTCCCTGAAGAAGCTCGACAAGTATATTCGAGACTCATTGCCGGCCTATATGGCTCCCTCTGCATACGTCGTGGTTGACAAGTTGCCCGCTGGACTGGAGCAACTCGAACACACTATCCTCAACCAGCTGGCTTCAGAGATTCCCCAAAGCGTTCTCACCCAAGTCCGTGAGGGGACAAAGGAGGCATGGACCAAGGGTTTGGCGCAGACCAACCTGACACCCCAAGAGAAGATCCTACAGGCTGCTTGGGCCAAGATCCTCCGCCTCACCCCAGAACAGATCGATGTCGACGATAACTTCTTCCGTCTCGGAGGTGACTCTGTCTTGGCAATGAAACTGGTCTCCGGTCTCCGCACCCAAGGTCATGCGTTGTCGGTCGCCGATATCTTCCAGAACATGCGCCTCGGCGATGCCGCCAAGGTGTTGAAGGTTGATCAAGCTTCTATGGACAGTGTCCAGCCTTACAAGCCATTCTCGGCGCTTAGCAATTTGGACGTCAAGATGTTCTTGGCTTCCACCGTGCGACCCAAGCTTGCCAACCCAGGTTGGCCGGTCAGTGATGTCTGTCCCGTCACTAAGTCCCAAGCAATGGATATCCAACAGACCATCCAGGCGCCACGGACATCCATCCAGTACAATATGTTGTATTTTGACCAGACCATCAACAGTGAACAATTGCTTCGCGCATGCGGTGACCTGGTCAAGGCCCACGACATTTTACGCACCGTGTTCATCGAGAACGAATCTAGCTTCCTCCAGGTTATCCTGGAAGAGGCAACTATGCCCGTGGCCATGCACCAGACCGACAAGGATCTCGAGCAATACGTGGCTGACCTCTGCAAAGCAGACATCGAGACAACCTACGAGCTGGGATCACCATTCTTCAAGATCTTCCACGTCGAAGGCACCGATGGCAAGCACTGCCTCGTTCTCGGCCTCTCGCACGCCCAATACGATGGTGTCTCACTGCCTAGAATTCTCCAAGATCTGGAGACCTTATACACAGGAGGAAAGGTAATTGACTTCGAGCCATTCGCTTCATACATCGCCTACATCTCCGACGGCCGTATCCAGACCCAAGCAGTCAAATACTGGAACAACCTCCTCAAGGACTCAACACTGTCCGTCCTGGATGGCCCAATTGTCGAACCCACCGACAAAGCGATCTTCCACGAGAAACCAGTGGAGAACTTCACACCCGTGCAAGAAATCACCGCTGCAAACGTCCTCACCGCAGCCTGGGCTTTGGTCCTAGCCCGCCGTCTCGGCAAGCCAGACGTGACATTCGGAACAGTAACTTCGGGCCGAATGCTCGACCTCGCGAATGTAGAGAACGTCATCGGTCCCTGCTACCAACTCACTCCAACCAGAGTGAAGTTCGAGCCCCAATGGACAGCAATGGACCTGCTGCAATTTGTGCAGAAGCAAGCCGCCGAATCTTCGGCATACGATTTCCTCGGCTTCGAGAAGATCTCCAAGCAATGTACCCAGTGGTCACCGGAGGCACGCACGTTCGACTCCATTGTGCACCACCAGGACTGGGCTGACTTTGATGATATGCCTTTTGCGGGGGCTTCTTGCAAGGTTGATATCTCGAACCCTCATGGTGATGCTGCTTACCCTCTGAAGGCGGTATCGTTTGCTCGGGGTGGGAAGATGCATGTTGGCTTTGTTGGTAGTGAGAAGGATGCGGCGTTTGTCGCTGCTACCCTTGATGAGTTGGCTGCTGCTGTTCAGGAATTGTCTGGTTGTGGGCCTGAGCCTTTGGTGCTCGATGCCTCCGAGTCCGCTTAATTGCGCGATAAATTAGGGTTTAAAAGCCTATTAGATCGCCATACAATCCGCTGTCTTATTCGAGGAAGAAGTAAGCGATTTACGCGCTAAAAACGAGAAGAAGAAGCGAAAAAGGACTAGATCTGCAAGGCAAATACCTTCCGAAGAAGGTCTCTCAGTTTTAGAGGCCTCTGCGTTAGCAATGCAGCCAGAGTAGGCAATTTCAACGCAGGTGTTCCATGAGGCAAGACTGGCCCACGTGCGAGAGCCTTGCTGAAATGCAGCGTATGTGGAAGTAAAGGTCATAAATTGACTATATGTCCCAATATGATCCGTTTTTAGCTTATTGAATTTAATGGCAATTTGGTTGAGATAAACGCATTTAAAATTGATAGGTTTAGATGGGTGGCCAGCTTACCGGAGACCCATAGAGTGCTTTTGAGCCGGGTGATTCACATTTTAACCCCGAATTCATGTATATTCAGAGACGAGAAATGATCTGAGGCCCCGACTCTGCTAGATACCTGAAATATATGGTTATTGTGGAGGTACTTTGTTCTGATTTGCTAGCGTTCGGTTGTAAAGTCTCGTTATCATGATGTTTCCAAGTGTTGCTCGGCTGGTGCATTTTAAGAAAGATATGCGGATAGTTATGTGAGGTTGCAGATGCTTGGATTTATTTAATTAACATTACTACTCTGCACAATTCTGCCTATAGCCTGCTACCGTGCGCTGTGGATTGTCGCCTATTCGCAATGTGCGAAAGGGTCCCGGCAAAAATTTCTCCTTAGACAAGCTTTTTTTGAGCGTCAACAGTCACTATCAGTTATTAAAGTTTGCACAACTAGTCTTCCTGTCCTATTGGGGTTACCTACCAGTTGGACTGATTATAGGACCATACATGGGGAGAGCCAACGGAATACTCACCGCGGTAAGAAGGGAGCTTCCACGGAGCATCTGGCATCCACCCAATGCTGCCCTTACCGGGGCCCTGTGGTCGGAATTCTCAAAAAAGAAAAAAAAAAAAAAGGAAAGAAAAGGAAAACGCCCATTGGACTAGTGGCATGACGCGAAGTGCACTGCAAAAGTCTATACCCAAAAACAACCTCACTTTCCGTTCCAAACTGCTCACGTGGTGGGCCAGGGCTGGAAACTGACTGATGGGATGGGGAAGGTTCCGCGGAATGCATGAAACTCCAATCACCTCCTCATTGTATACACCAAAGCTGGCACTAAGAGTGACACATATTAAATATCTCCTAACAGCACCACTCCGTGCCTATATACACCACTTCGCACACTTGTCTATACATCATACTACGCAAAGGCCATACTTGACAGCAATGGCGACGCTAGGTTCCGAGCCTCTGCAGAATGCACTCCATGTACCGAGCGACAAGGGTTCGCATGAGGACCGCTTTGGGCTCACCTCGCCATGGGAACACTACTACCGGCCGATTGATACCGCGCCTGAAGGCCGATTCGAATGCGACCTAGACGAGTTGGTTGTCTTTGGCGAGATACCAAAAGAGATCAGCGGAACCTGGTACCGAATGCTTATTGACCCTCACTTCTGCCCGCAAGTTGGAACTCCCTTCGTTGACGGGGATGGGCACGTGTGCGCCTTTCGCATCCAAGACGGCAAGGTCTCTATGAAGATCAAATACATACACACAGAGAGATGGCTTCTGGAGCGCAAGGCTGGTCGCCGCCTCTTCGGCCGCTATAGGAACCCCTTCGATAACCACCCGTGTGTACAGCTTGCAAACGACACCACCGGAAATACGAATATCATTTACTGGGGTGGCAACCTCCTCGCGTTGGCCGAGAGGGGATTACCATATGCCTTGGATCCGGACACCCTCGAAACAAGGGGTCCCGATCCATACGGCGGCCAGACAATCGCAAAGACCTTTGCTGCGCATCCGAAGGTCGACCCGCATAGGAATGAGCTTGTCACCTGGAGCTACTCTGCCAAAGGCCTTAGCACTCGGGACATTTGCACATACTCAATCGACCCTAGTGGACGTATCTTCAACGAACACTGGTTCCAGCAGGATAAGCCGGGCTGGCCGCATGATGGCTGGATCACGGACAACTGGCTTATTTTGTCGAATATGCCATTCAGCGTGAATAGCGACGAGGAGATGAAGGCTGGGGGCGACTACTGGAGATTCGTTCCAGGCCAGCCATCCGAGTTCCTCGTCACTCCACGCAACGCAAACGTGCCTGGCCACTCTGGCTGGAAGCCTGGCGAGTTCCGCAAGTATACAGGGCCCCCGGGCCTAATCGTCCACACGGGCAACGCATGGGTGGAGGAAGGCGGGATCTTGAAACTAGAAGGCCATTTGATCAGCTGGAACGTGTTCCACTTCTTTAATTCGGCGGGCTACGAGGAGCCTAAAGGGGAGAAGCCTAGTGCCAACTGGCTACGTTGGACCGTGGACCTCTCTAAGCCGGATGAAACGGCCTTGCCACCAGCTGAGACACTCTTAGAGGGCATCTATGACTTCCCCATTTTCGACGAGCGAATGACAGGCCGCAAGACCAAGATCGTGTATCTAGGCGCCATGATGAACCCGGATGGAAACCCTCGCCCTCGGTTCAATGCAGTAGTCAAATTGGACACGGAAACTGGCGCGAAATCTATCTTTCACGCCGCTGCAGACGGTGAGGTCGCGGAGCCGGCCTACATCCCTCGAGGACCGGATTGTGAGGAAGGCGATGGCTGGATTATATTCTATCATGAGAAAGACTCGTCGCCCAAGGGTGAGCTGGTTATCATCGACACCAATGATTTCTCAAAGCCAGTCGCTATTGCGCAGTTGCCTTTCCGGACGCGCAACCAGGTCCATGGAAATTGGGTGCAGAATCCTCATCCTGAAACGCCTTTGCCGTTGATTACGGGTCCTGCACAAGATATCATTCCGAGCACAAAGTACTCCCAGTTGAATAGGCTTCCCTAGTTGAGATAGTTTTATGTGGAGTAGGCCAGGATAGTTTACTGTTAGTTTAGATCAATTCAAGACAAGAATGCATCCGAGTGGTCCAAAGCTTTTCAAAGATGAATCGTACGGTAGATAACAAAGTGAATTGCAAAAGGACCAAAGCGGCCTGAATCCCCTACATGTGTGCAGTTCAATGTAACCTAATCGTCTACTATTCAATTTCAGTTCACGGGCTGTTCATGAAACATGGCCGGGGCGACGAAGAGAAGCAACAGGTCAGATTTGATGCGTGGCAGCCCAAGGTAGGGCATGTCCACCCCGGGGATAACTTACCCCATTATTACCAAGAATGGTTATGTTGGGCCCCGAAGGGAATGAGAAATCATCCACCCCGCGGAAATTCCGCGATGTACTCCTTTCTCCACCAAACCGCGGAATTGTCGGAAACCACCTGCATTAATTTGCATAGACTATGAACAGGCATTACTTAGTATTCCTGTGCCGGATTACTTCAACTGATCATCCAGTCCAAACAACACGATGATCACCCAAGTCGCATCCCTGCCGTATAGCGCGCCCACGCTCATTGCGGGTCCCGGCGCGTAGATCGTAGAGTATCTAAAGGGTGTTTTTACTCTCTAGTTGAAAGTTTAACATCGTCCTTCTTTTTCTTTTTGCTCCCTTTTATTTTGTAGCATTGAATCGAGCATAGCTGATTTAAATACTCCAAAGTAATCTAACCGTGACTCTACATCTGTAGATGAGGCCTTCTCGGGTTGTCTACATAAAGTACAGTCCCTAGGAACTGGAAATGAACTTAAAATGTGCATGGAATGACTAGTAAAGGATCTGAAAGCTCTCTAGATTCCCGGTAACAGCATCATGTTCTTAAGCTACTGCTCTGGCAGGGCAACAACAGGGACGATGATCTTCGAGTCGTACTTGCCACCGAAATGAATTATATGCTGACCTTTGTTTAGGTTGTCGAGCTTCTGGTCGATATGGCTGGGGAAGTCCGTGCTGGTATCCGCGAAGCCTTGGACACGGAAGAGAAGGCTCTCACCAGGTTCGAAATAGATACCCATGGGCCAAAGAGAGATATCGAGCTTGACGACTTCCCCCGGAGCCACCTTTTCTTCCTTATCGTGTGGGTGGTACGGGATCATCGGGGTGCTCCGTTCTGGATCCTGTGCGCGATGCGAAGCGCGAAGAATGCCGGTTGGACCAGTGTACTGTGTAAGGAATGTTGTTAGCCTACTTGCAGTGTCTGTACCTAGATTGGAGCACCCACCTTGACTACCTGCGCCGTCGGAACGTCGTGTTGGGTATTGACCCCTTCAGGCAAAGCCTCCCAGGGAACATTGACCTGCTCAAGTACTTCGCCACTCTTGCTCAGCTTGCGGATAGACACGTACACATCTAGGTCATCTTTGTCCTTGCAGGACATCCAGAGCTCGGCTTTGGAATAACCAACTAGGGCGGTTGCTTTGTCAAATTTTAAAATGAATTCGGACGGTTTTGCCTGGTAGCTGTCCGCTCTATGCGCAACGGAGCCCTCCTTGGCTTGTTGCGAGGTCGCCAATTGTCCAGAGTCCTGTAGGTAGAGTGACTGATACTTGGTCGATGGAATAGGGTAGTCGGAAAATGGCACGTCCCATTTAGGGCCCTATTGCAATTTGTCAGTTGTCGTTCGATAGAATACTCGTATAGCAACATACCGGCTCGAACCGATTACCGTATGTAAGAATAGAGACTCTAGCTCGCGGAGTCTCTTCCCAGCCATTCTCAATCCCCTTTAGGTATCGGTCGTAGAACCGTTGCAGATCGTCGATGTACCTAGGGGTATAGAGATCAAACCACTCCTGAGTCGGATGGAATCGTATCCATTTCTCCTTGGAGGTCGCACTCTTCCAGCCTCTCAAGGTCCCAGATCCATGGTTTCCAGACGAATAGCTTGAAAGTGCATAGATAGGAATCGTGATATTACTGGTGTTGTAGACCTTGTCCGCCCAGTATGCATTGAAGAGGGGCCACTTAGCCAGCGCTCCTCCAATGTCCTCCCGATTGTTTCGTCCGCGAATAGTCTTGTTGAAAATGAATGAAGCGAAGTTGGTCTTAGGAACCCCACCGCGGCAAATCAAGTCACGATACTTGTCTGTGAAGGCTTCCCAGGGTGCGATGCACTTGAGTGAAGGTGGCTGTTGAATCGCAGTCGCCCACTGCTCGGTTGCTAGCCACGAATTCCCACACATGCTAACAGCACCATTGCACCATGACTGGGCGGCGATGAATTCGACCGTATCGAAGCCATCCACACCTGCTAGTGTTAGTAAAAATACCCTACCATTGTCATTCTAATTATCAAGAAGCACGCTTACCCATCTGGCTGCCCTCGATATAAAGATCGCCCTCGCTATCCCATGTACCTCGAATGTCTACGTTGACGATCACGTAGCCCCGAGGGCACCATTCAGCAGGATCGGGCCTAGATCATTTGCTTAGAATATCCTACTTGATGTATTAGGGCATATCATACTTACCCTTCGAATTTCTCCAAGCCCGAAGTGGCGCTCTCTGGTAGTCCAAGTCGGAACGGGATATTATCAAAAATGCGAAATCCTTGCCGCAATACCAGGATTAGCTTTGTTCTATTGAGCAGATGTGGGTGACATACCATGTCCATTTTTACCATAGGGGCTTACGGCCAGTAAGGCCGGGAGCTTAGTATCCGTGACAGGCCGGAATATGTCACAGTAGATCTGAGCCACCAGATGAGTATCGCTTCTTGCTTGTTCCTCGCGGTTCACTGACCTTGACTCCATCCCTGAGCGGGATTGCGATGTGTTCATCAAATATGAGTTCTTGATGCAGCGGACGCTTGCCTTCCTTGAATCTCCAGCCTACAGGAAGCGTTCTAGTGTTCCTAGTCTGCTTCTTGTAGGGAAACATGTTTGTCTCATCTTCGGGTTTGACGGCAGGCACCCATGGGATGGGCAGACCGTCAAACTCAAGATTTGGTCCGGTCATGACTGGATCGATTCGGCTTGGCTAAGATATTGGATACAGATTTCGATAGGTGTTCGTTCTCTGAAAATAACCTCGACTATTTCGTACTTTACCAGAATATATACTTGTAGTCGTCAGTACTCCCTCCCCAACTTCCGTATGGTGAGTTCCGGCTAACCGCAGAACCCCGCTGCGGTCATTGGAGTTATTGGTAGCGCCCATTGTGTATTCGGATGCCTTCCGCGGAATCAACCAAGAACAGCGGGCTCCGCTGTCGTGGAGAAACACTTGATTATAGACGCTGCCTGGTTAATGACCAGAAGAAGGAGCTTGCGAGAGGAGGAGCTCAGTGCAATTACCCGACAGTCGTGGTCACCCCATAAGCACCAACATGACATCTTACGCGGGTCTCTCCTCGTTGTTATTCATTTACTTCGAAACAAGTACGTCCGGGGTGTTGAAGACAGACCTGATCCGTGGCTGGCAGCATACACAGGCCGTGATCAAGGAGGCTTTAAGGATTCACCCTTCTGTTGGCCTTCTTCTTGTGGGGAATTCCTTCCAAAACAGATTGTAGTCGGCATTATCCCAGGATGATCCGGAAGTTTCCCCAATCCCGAGCGATTTAAACTAAAGCGATAACTCGATGCATCGGAGGAAGAATTGAAGATATCGAACCAGTCGATCCTCGTATTCGTGCCGGGTTCTGCGCGTGTATTGGAAGACATATCGAGATGATAGCGCTAGCCACGCTTGTTCCTGAGAATACACGCCACTATGAGTTATCGGAGGACTACAAGGCTTAGTGCGCAATTTAGAGGCGAATCTACAACATCATAACATCATAATATCTTCTGTCAAGATTTGGTGTTATGAAGCTATTCTTGTGTATGTCAGCTCCTATGGGGTAGGAATCGGCCCCCGTGTAGATTTCCCCGTGTAGATTTCCCCGTGTAGATTTCCCCGTGTAGATTTCCCCATGAAGATTTCCCAATGAAGATTTCCCAATGAAAAGGCATCCACCCCCGGCCCAGGTATCGCTTCCCGCCAGTTGAATCGAAGAGACTGACGAGTGTGCTGTATTACGATCGGACGAAACAACTGGCCTCCGGCTGAGTACCCGCAGTTGAGCCCCGCGGAGTGTTCCGCGGAAGAAGCGAAAGAGCGAAAGTATGGGGTCTCCAGTATTCGATACCACAAGGAAGTTGGCGGCATTATTTGCTGCCCTAAAAGGACTCCAAGTACGTCACTGTATACTACATGAAGTCATTACCATCGTTCTCGATAACGTTTTCGCAAAAGCCCACCCACCTAAGCTAGCTCAATCTAGGATATCCAACTGCTATAATGAACAAATCTGACAGACTACTCAAGTCGACACTGGCCCGCTTAGCGAGCCTGCCAATCGAATGGTGGGCAGGGGCTGGTGTACTGTTTATTGTTCTGGGGCTATTTTATCGAGCCTACATGCACCCGCTGCGAAAGGTACCAGGGCCGCCGCTGGCAAGGGTTACGGAGCTATGGCGGACCAAGAAATATTTTCAAGGCAGGTGGCACGAAGATATTTTGCAGCTTCATCGGCAGTACGGTCCGGTTGTCAGAATCTCCCCGAACGAAGTCAGTATTGTGAGCCCAGACCTAGTCAAGACCGCCTATAGCCATAGCAAAGGAACTGTAAAGGTACGCCGAGCTCCTATTGAAGAAAGTAAGATGGATAAATCTAACAAGCGCTCTAGACGAAGTGGTATGATACTTGGTTGACCTTGGGAGGAGGGAAATCGAATGATTCTCCGTCGGTATGTACGGATCATCACAGTCGGGATTTTGTTGTTGCTTTTCACTTTCCTGGAAACTAACCAACGAGCTAGTTTTTTGGAGCAAGAGATCCAGCACAACATGGCTTTCTTCGAAAACGGGTGTCTGCGACATATAGTATGTCGGCTGTGGTGTCAATGGAGGGCAAAATCCAACCCGTCCTAGACACCATTTGGCAGCGATTCGATGGATTCGCTAAACTCGACCAGCCCATTAACCTGAGCATATGGGCATCGTATTTTACCTACGATGTTGTGGGCAATCTCTGTCTCAGCGAACCTCTTGGTTTTATCCGCGATGGATCTGACAAGAAAGGCTTCATCTCAGGTATCCATGGAGCCTTCTACTGGATTTCTAATCTCGGTTATCTTCCCTTGCAGAGCCTTTGGCTCTTGAGCCCTATAACAGACAAGGTTGCACGACTACTCCGACTGCGTCTTGCTGAGTATGCCCGTGCCTTCACGACCTTCTCTATTGACAAGATCATCCAGCGGATGAAGGCAGGTTCGAATAAGAGCGGTGACAGGGACATGCTCGATCACTTTTTGGAAATGAAGGGGCCTCGCGGAGAGCCAGCTCCTATTGGCGACATCCTTGCTGAGGTTGGCAATCTTCTCGCTGCAGGCGCAGACACGACTTCCGTCGCCATCAAGGCAGTGCTTGGTCCGCTCCTAAAGGATCCTGCTCGATATGAGCGTCTTAGGAGGGAGGTAGACGCGGTGTATAAAGCGAATAATAGCCCAGTGGACAGCAGGAGTCTATCATTCAACGTACTCAAGGATCTCCCCTTTCTCACTGCGTGTATAAAGGAAGGAGAGCGGCTACACCCTAGCATTATCTACCAGCTTCCGAGGGCCGCTCCGGCGGATGGGCTCAACATTGAGGGCTATTACATTCCTCCGTCTGCCACCATATCCATGAGCCCGCTTGCCCAGAACCGATGCCAGGAAATCTTTGGGAAGGATGCCGACGCGTGGAGACCGGAGCGGTGGATTCCCAACGAGGGAAATTCACTCGAGACGATCAAGGAGATGGATAAGCAGAACGCTACGGTTCGTCGTTCCATAATCTCGTCCTAGACCTCCTCACACAGTGCTGACAATGACCCGATATAGTTTGGCTATGGTTCTAGGACCTGTGTTGGTCGGAACCTCGCGACATTTGAGGTTTACAAATTTGTCGCCCAGCTCGTCGCTCGGTACGACGTAGAGCTACTCAACCACAGAAATCCCTGGACTGTTCGATCATCATGGTTCGCCGAGATAGACAACATGCATATTCGGTTAAAACACCGGGTTTGACCTTGATATCTTGCTTCCTAAGGGTGCAATTGATGCACAAGTGAGGAACATTCTCGCTTTTTCCTTTCTAGATAGTGAGGATATACCGCGCCGTGCAAATTATGATTATATCAATGAATAATAATGCTAGTCACTATGATGAGCGCCAATAGCTCTGAAGTCACTTGTAGGAGTCACGGGGTCCCTTAGTTTTGCCGTGAGGCTCGGTGCCACCCGTGATATATAAGTTACCTGGCTATTATTACTATAAACGGGCTACGATTGACTTCTCTCCTAGCCTGTTCTCGTCTTGACATTCTTTGAAGCGGGCGAAGTGGAGAGTTTTGACTTTGTCATCGACCGCTTCCTTGAAGCAGCGAAGCCGCTATCCGACAATGTCACCAGATGCAACACGACGCCAGAAGCAGTGGGCGCGTTGAACCAAATGCTGCTGGACAGTAGACCCAGGCGAGCGAAAGGTACTCAAGAAGAAATCAAGTACATACTGTAGGTAGTACTTTGGAAGGCGATAATTTGGATTGGTTCAGAATTTATCTGTTATTTTTACCCCTTGCTTCCTGGTAGACTTCACCTGAAATAGGTTATTTTACTGCAGTAGCTATTCTTCACGTCCATGCTGTTTTGCAGATTTATTAACATGTTTCTTCTTGGATAATCGAGGTGTAATGTGTAACTAAGGATTGTCCACATGCTAAAGACATACAATACTACTTCAACACAGCAACATAATCCGAGAAAGAAACAAATGGATATAATATTAAACAATAGCTAAAAATATGCAAATCTATAATTTTAAGTAGCAACCGTCTGGTGCATGACGTTGGCACGGTAACTATCCGACCTCTGCAACAATTCGTCATGCGAACCAGAGTCAGTGCAAACACCGCCATCAATTAAGAAGATCACATCTGCCTTTCGGATAGTGTGCAGGCGATGAGCAATGGCAATAACAGTGATACCCCGCGCAGCCTTCTCAAGACCATCCTGCAGAAGCTTCTCAGACTCAGCATCCAAAGCACTCGTCGACTCATCAAGAATCAACAACTTAGGCTTACGAACAAGCGCACGAGCAATGGACAGTCTCTGCTTCTGACCACCGGAGAATTGGTTACCATTAGGTCCACAGAGAGTCTGGTATCCCTCCGGCAGAGACATGATAACATCGTGGATGTTGGCAAGCTTGCAAGCATCTTGGATTTCTTCAAGGCTCACGTCGTGACCAGGTCGTGCTCCGAGACCGATGTTGAACTCGATGCTTCCCTCGAATAGGACGCTATCCTGAGGGACAAGGGAGACCCAGTCGCGGAAGGAGACATCAGTCGTCTTTGTCACGTCGACGCCGTCGATGAAGATGCCTCCGGATTCCGGCGTGTAGAGACGCTCAACTAGGGAAATGATGGTGGATTTACCGGCCCCACTGGGTCCGACCAGAGCGCAGAACTTGCCTGGGCGGATATCGACGTTCAGACCCTTCAGCACCTTCATATCTGGGCGAGCGGGGTATGAGAAGTGGACGTCGCGGAGCTGCACACTCGAGGCTGGGTTGCCGGTATCGTAGGTAGGCTTTTCTTCGACGGACTCAACATCGTTGAGGGTTCCGTTCATCTTGTCCTTGCCGATCTCGATGAGGCCAAGGATTCTGGCCATGGCAGACCGTGCGGCGGAAAGCTCGGGTGCCAGTGCGAACATCTGACTCCAGAGCAGGGCGCTGACGAGGAGGGAGAAGACCACGATCAGGAACTGGGTCTGGGTGTAGTTTCCGTTGATGATTTGCTTGGAACCCCACCAGTAGGCGAGGGCGTTTACGAGGTTACCAAGGAAGTAGGTCATTGCCTGCCATAGACTGGCTTGGATAGTAACCATGAGTGTCTCCTTGCGAGGTCCTTTCAGGGATCGCCGGTAAGTCTGCAGAGTGTCTTCTTCGAGGGAGAGAGATGCGATTGTCTTAATCGAGGTGACTGCTTCGACACCAATGTCGACTGACTTAGTGTAGGCGTTTTCGTGACGTTCCTCGAACTTGCCGAGGACCATAAGCTCCATCATGCCAGCACCAAGCAGAAGGGGAACCACGGCCAAACAGACCAAGGCAATTCTCCATGCGATGATGTGGGTGAGGATAATGGCAGCGATGAGATTGACCGTGATAGCGAATAGAGTACCGATGACAGAGCCACTCAGGCCAGCCAAGGCGTTACCATCTCTGGTAATGTAAGAAAGAAGGAGGGCAGGAGATCGGCCATTGGACTGGTGCCATTGGAGATCCTGTTCGAAAAGTGACCGGAAAGACAAGACTCGGACCTTGTAGACAATCTTCTCAGAAACGAAACCGAATCCTCCCCAACTGACGACGTTTGCGAAGAACTCAATCAGAGCGAGAACGAAAAACATGAGACCATAGAAGTTACCCCGGTTCATGATACTGGCCGCACTCTTGCAAGGATTTAGACTGCCAACGGTGTTACCGAAGATGACAGCTTCACCAGAGAAAGCTCCACCGACCATAGTGGCACCGAGAAGCGAGGCGAGGATGACAAGGAGATGGGGTCTCACAGCGGGTGCGTATCCTTTGCAAAGAGCCCACAGACTCTTTTTGGGAGTATCGGGCTCTTCCTCCTCATCCTCTGCTGATTCAGGGGCTGGCTGCTCAGTGGTAGAGACTTGCACATCCTTAGCGGGTTCAGTATCATTTGAAACACTACCCTTCTCGTTGTCAACCTCGGTGATAGAGGTATCATCAGATTTGCTGACAGTTTCAACGCTGACAGTGGATTCGGTCTTGTTGGGGGCAGACCCGAGAGTCTGCAGCTTGACGAGATCAGAGTATGGACCATTCTGGGCCATCAATTCAGAGTGACTTCCTTCCTCGAGAATATCTCCCTTGTGCATGCAGACAATCTTGTCGGCACCGGTGATGGTAGACAAACGGTGAGCGATGGTGATGACCGTTCGGCCAGTCGAGATGTTGTTGATAGCCCGCTGGATGCGCTGTTCGCTTCTAGAATCCAAAGCAGCAGTGGCTTCGTCCAGTATGAGAACTGCCGGATCCTTGACAAGAGCTCTGGCAAGAGAGACACGCTGCTTCTGGCCACCACTGATCAGACGTCCGCTGGAGCCAACAAGAGTGCCATATCCGTATTGCAGGGCCTCAATGAAGCCATCCGCATCTGCGAGCTGAGCAGCCTTTCGGACCAACGCAACAATCTCGACGACTTCAGCACCCCGCTTCTCAGCAGCTGTGGTCAGGTCTGAGCCTTCTCTGATTTCGCTAGCGACATCCGAAAGGTCGGTACTGAGGAGGGTAGTCTTCAGGTGTGCGTGGGCCGGGTTGCTCGAGTTCATCAAACCGTGGGCAATGTTCTCCAAAAGGGACCGATCGAGCAGGGAAGGCTCTTGCTGGACCAGACTGAGGAATCCTCTCAAATCACGGGTGTTGAGATCGCGAAGGTTATGACCGTCGAAAGTGATCTCTCCCCCGGTAACGTCGTATAACCGGTTAACCAGACCAGCGATGGTTGACTTTCCACTTCCGGAAAGACCAACAATGGCAGTGTGCTTCTTGGGAGCAATGGAGAGACTGATCTTGTTAAGAACAGTAATTTCTGGCCGAGAAGGATATATGAATGAAACATCCTTGAACTCGAATCCGCCCTCGGCGTGCGAGAGGCGAATGCCAGCATCACCAGATCCATCAATCAGAGGCTTGCGGTCAATGTCGCCACGCAGCTTCTGGTACGATGCCACAGCCTGAGTGAACAGATGAATGAATGGAGCAACTTGACTCAGGAGCAAAGTAGCTGAGGGTTTAGTCAGTATAAATTCCGTTGTAAGATTTCTGCCAAACTAACCTTCCACTAAGACAAAGATAACAGTGAAGATAGATCCAACAGTTTTACCCGCTGAGTCTGCGCCCAGTGACTCGGCAATCTGCTTACTTCCCTGCCAGAAGGCCAGACCGTTCGCACCATAGGCAATGAAGTATAGGAAACCAGCCTGAATACCAGTGGCAGCAGCCTTTTTTAAGCCCTCGGTTTCTGACTGCTTCAAAGCTTTGGAAAACTTCTGCTCCAGACGGCCGTTGGCACCGAAAGCCTGCACCACAACAATATTGGAAAGCGCCTCGGAAGCAATCGATGCGGCGGAAGCAGCGTAGTCGGACATGCGCCCGGTGTATTTCTCAATATAATGACTTCCAACAAAGGACATCAGGAAATAAGCCGGAACCAAGGAAATGAGCATCGCAGCCAGAATATAATCCTTGATGAAGGCGACAATGTACGCCGTGATGAAGAAGGAGAAACTAGAAAGGCAGATTCCAACTTTTTCGGCTGTACCGGAACGGATCGTCTGGATATCGGTGTTGAGACGAGAAGCGACCTCTCCAGCAGGCAAGTTATCGAAGAAAGACGGTTCCTGTCTGAGCAAGTTCTGAAGATATCTTTCACGCAGCCTCTGCGCAAGGCGCGCACCAGTCATGGTCCAGCATAGCAGGTGCATATAAATCAAAACGAATTGCGCAATGGCGAGATACACGATCAACAATATTTTACTGTTGATATCGGATTGAGAGCTGGAGTCGGAGCTGGAGGACGCGGTTCCGTCGGATTGACTGCACGTAACATCGTTGAAATCGTCGAGCAGTTGACCGAAGACAATGCCAATAATTGGAAATGGAACACCTGCTGCAATCGCGGACAATATACCAAGCAAAAGTGTCCCCAGCTCGGCTCGTGAGGGGTTGCCAGCCAGGAGCAGCTTGGGGTAACCAGAGAGTTGCCCGAAGAGCTTCATTGTGACTCGATTTGGGTGCCGGCTTGCAACACCTGTATAACTGTCGGTTCGAGTGTTGGGGAAGCGAAGTTCTCCGAAGCAACTAATTTATTGCTTGGCTTGACAGAGTCTGGAAAAAGTCGCATCCACCCGTTAGCGTCTTTCCATCCAGTAAAGCAATCTGGGTCACACGAGCTC